ATTTATGCAAATGATGCATGTCAATCACGACTCTATGCATTCTCATATCACATTATCAGGTCTCATTTTCATATCACATCGTCATGTCTCATTATCATATCACATCATCATGTCTCATTGTCATATCACAACATCATCATGTAACATTATCACATATCCTCATATCTCATGTCTCATATTCACATTTCACATTATCTCATCATATTCACACAGTCTCCACAGAGCACTTTAATTCATATTAAAACTTGTCTATTTGCGAAAGTAAACACATATTCGTACATCTCATTCAACAAGGAATACAACAGAACAATCAGAAGGTGAAATAGAAAATATTAGAAATTTGTCTGTTACTCATAGGGTTCCCATAGGAGGGTTGGCCCACCAAATGGCCAACCCGTGGTGGGCCAGGCCAGGTAGCCCATTTTGACACCTCTAACCTTTTTGTTTGAAAAAAACTTTCGTATCTAAAATGCATGATAGTAGTTTGAAAATGGTTTTCAACATAAGAAAAAAAAAACTGGAATGATGGTTTGTACTTCAAATTTATGTGTCATCATATATATCCGTGTAAATCAAGTTTTATCATCAATAAGAGTTAAGAAATACTTACATCCATCATAAGTAGGGACTCTAAAAGGGTCTCAAACCTCAGTATGAACAAGATCAAAATTACTTGAAGCAAAATTATGATTAGAATGAAAGGGTAAAAGATGTTGCTTAGCCAAATGACATATAGAACAATTATATTGTTTTACAGAAGAAGGTAAACATTCAATCCTATCTCTAAGCAAATCAAAAACATGACCAGACAAATGTCCTAGCCTTAAATGCAAGTATCAAAAGAAATGGGAATAGTCATAGAATTACAGTATTAAAAGTCATTACAATGACTAGTATCTAAAATGTATAAATTGTTGCAAGTTCTACCCTGACCAATCTTCTTCAAAGTTTTGGAATCCTGGATAAAAAAAACTTGTCAGATTGAGAAATAAAATGATAACCATAGAAAGAAAGTAAAGTGATCAATGATAATAAATTAAAGGTAAAAGATGGAATATATAAAACATTGTGTAATTGCAAGTTGTTATTGATAATAACAATCCTAATTCTACTAATAGTAACTTTGTCTACATTAGGTAGAGTAACAAAGGAGTTATCTAAAGCATGATGGGTATTGAACAACTTAATGTTTGAACAGATATGGCAAGTTGCACTTGTGTCAATCACCCATGAAATGGGATTTTGATGCCCAAAAAGAGAAGAGGACATGCAAATACCTTCTTGAGTGGCAGGAGCTTAAGTCAAATCTGAATTCAACTATGTGGAGAGCATTGCAATGAATTGTTGGCACTACAAGGGAGAAAGGTTGCTGACAGGGTTGGAGTTTGAAGTAGATGGTGTGTTTGAGACTTAGTTCACATTTTGTTGTTTCTTGTTTTTGAAAGGAAAATTAGGTGGGTAACCATAGATCTTGAAACATTTGTCTTTAGTGTGACCAATGCCATCACAATGAGCACATTTTGGTTTATCCTTCGTGACATTCTTTATAAAAGATTTATTAAAATTCTGAGAAGAAGAATTTTGAGTATTCTTTACAGCAAAAACCAAATTTTCAGAAGTAGATATATTTCCTATTTCTCTTTGAGATTCCTCTTGAGAGAGAGAAAACTTGGCTTATAGGTGGTAAAGTGTCAGATAAAAGAATCTAACTACGAATATGAGCATAAGACTCATTCAATCCCTTGAGAAAGGTCATAACATACTCACTTTGAAGATATTTTTGATAGTTGGGTAAACTTGGACTAGTACATCCAAAATTTGGTTTGTAAGCAGATAATTCTTCCCAGATTCCTTTCTATTTAGTGTAATAAATGTCCACAAAATCAAACCCTTGAGTGAGGGAAAGAAATTGTTTTCTCAATTAATATATTCTTGGACCATTTTTCTAGGAGAATCTGTCTTATAAGTCCTGCCATACGTCTTTTGCAGTGGTGAAAAATATGATACTAGCAATAATGTCTTTCAAAACAACATTAAAAATTCAAGAAATAACATTATTATCACGCATCCAAGCCGCATGTGTAGGAGAATTTGCAGTAGGTTGTGGAATAGGTTGTCGAACAGATCCATTAACAAATCCAAGTTTGTTCTTCACGAGTAGAACCACGATACTCCAAGTAGTGTAATTGTTGCTTCCAAGAAGAAGTGGTGAAGTAAGAACCAATCCAAACCCATCGAAGTGATGAAGGAACAAAGGGCTGGTTGGATCTTGGGAAGGTTCTTTTAGATTTTCAAGAATAGCCATGAAGAACAAAAAAACAGGACGAAAAACTCAAAGTTTTAGGTGTTGAATATCTATTGATACCATATTGAACATATATGCACAAATATGCGGAAGAAAAAATTGTAAAACAAAGAACCAAAGAATAAGATGAATGAAAAGAGAGAAAGGATAGAGAAGACAAAGAACAATTGAAATTCCTCTATTATTATTGAATTGTTAAAATGATAAATTTATAGATTGGACACATAACATCAAATTTATAGATTGAATTTAAAATTATTTTAATATGATAAATTTAACTGTTTTTTTTAATTTTTAATCATTGATTTGAATCAATCTAATTTAATTATATCTGATTTTGAATTGATTTATTGAATTTATTATTAAAATAAAAAAAATCATATTAAATAACACATAAAATATATGACATCATCTTATGAAACATAATAATATAAACCTATTTCACGACTTTAGTAACAATATATTTAGACAAGTCATTAAATTGACTTAGACAACTTTATTCTTTTATCTTTCACTAATATTTCCATGCTTGTTAATTAACCCAAACCAAATTTGATAATTTATTATTATTATTATCATTATTATATATATATATATATATATATATATATATATATATATATATATATATATTTTGTATCAGGTTGGTTCAGATTCTAAAAATTAAAAACTGAAATCCAAATCAAAACTAATTGAATTTTCATTTTTCAAATCCAAATAAATCTCATAGTCCAAATCAATCCAAATTTTCTCAATCAGATTTGTTGAAATTCATTGGATCATCATATTAGTTCGATCAATGCCCACCCCTAACTGATGGTGTTATTACCATAGGAGTTTAAGTTTATTGAGTTATTGCAGTGACCATGGCCATTACTGAGAGCCTTTAGTGAGTTTAATTTTTGAAAAATATAACTACTACAGAAAATATCCAAAGCTCATTTGTAAATTGTTCAGGAAAATATGTCAGGACTTGATTGATTATAAAAAAAATAACTAGTTAGTTGTTTATGGAGAAAAGGGACGAAAGTGGAGTTTTGTAGGCAGAGACAATGTCATGGACTCATGGTGGTTGCTGAGGCTAAGGTTGGTGTGTTTGTGTTGTCACGGATCCAAGAAGCACCACCGTTGTGAATATTATATCTTAATACTAAAGATCAACTTAAAAAGTTTGATTCTGTAAATATTATATCTTAATATTAAATATTAACTTTAAAAAAAATTGATTTTAAAGTGGATAAGAATATTTTTCTAAAATATTTTAACATCTCAAAGGCATATAGATTTTATTTTTTTTTAAACTCTAATCTGTTATGAAAAATCCATGTAAAATTCAATTATATACCAATACCTAAAAAGAGACCATCATAGATTTACAAATTGAACCATCAAGACAACTTGAAAATGAAATAGATAAACCATACACAGAATCTTAGCAAAGTCATAAATGAATGAAATTAGCAACAAGAAGGCAGCACTTCCAGACATCAAAAGAAGAACTGGAAATTCATGTTATCATCCATGAGATCATATTCTTGGTGACAAAATAGAAGGAATAAAATATATGAATTAAATACTAACTTAATATGATATGTCAAAGCGTAAATTTATAAATATAGACATTTTTTAACATTAAAATTAGATAAGATAAATTAAATTTAAGAAAAATAATCTTTGAAAAAAAAATGACAAAACATAAGATGTAGTTAAGAAAAGTCGCGTGACACATTGAGTAAATCTTATTCTTCAAAATAAATACTTGAATTGAATTCAATATGCAAAAATTGATTAGTTAATTACAAAAGTTACATATTTTTATATAAAAATCTATATTCCCCCTAATCTATCCCTGATCTGAAATTCTTACAAAAACATGCAAGCTTGTGGTTGGAAAAATCAAGCAGCACAGAACACGAAACCTCGAAGCCCAGCTAGCATATGCTTCATTTAGTGCTTCCCAATGAACCATATATTCAAGGTATGTATTGAGTTCATTATGATTAGAGAATGATAAACGTAAAAGCTAAAAATGCTAAAACGATCGTTATAGGTACTCAATTATTTGTTTACTGAGCATTATCATTCACGTGTAAAAGTTTATTACGTGTGTTAGATTCCTGACATTTACATATATTAGCCACGTTTTTATTATGAGACTTAAAACAATTTGGAAAATAAATTATTATAAGTCATGCTTTTTTTTATCAAAACTATAGTACCTTCTTTGAATTTGAAATTTTAAGTTAAATTAGGCATTAAAAAAGAGGATCGAATAATATAAAATAAATTTACACCGTCAATGTCAATATATAATTAATTTGTTAACTTAGATAATAAGTACTTAAAATTATCCAAAACCCAATTATATTATGTGAATATTTTTAGTACATTTTTCAATGAAAGTTTTTTTTTTAAAAAAAAAAATTTAATCTCTTATCTCTTGCTATCTATCTTTTCTTCTTTGCTTTTAAATTAAATTTCAATTTAAAAGAAATATCAATAATAGAAATTAACCTTTAGTCACAACAAAAAATCATATATACAAATCTGAAATTTATGTTTTATACTAAAGAATTAGGTCCACATTGCTTTGCTAGATAATGGTAGAACCTTATATGAATTTCACTGAAATGTCCATGGAGTATGTAAACAAATATTTTCTTACTACTCAATACTGGAATGGGTGAGAATTTCCAACTTCTGTTTGTTATTGCTCAAATCGGGAAAAAGAAAAAATATATATATAAAATGGGTCATTTATATTTTTTCAACTTCCAATAAATCCTTGCAGCTACTTTACATTTTTCATTTCTTCATTAAATATTTCAGGCATAAGAACTAGTCCACTACGTCACCTAAAAGGAGTGCTTTTTACAAATCCTTGTTGCAAGGTTATATTAACTAGAAGCTATCAGTGACATCAATTGTTGTTCAACTTCTTCCCAGTTTATTACTCTGGTCACCAGGGGATGTTGATAATCAGACTCAGTCTTGGACCATGGGTACGAGTTTTCATAATCAAAAAGTAGGACTCTAATTCCAGCTTCAGCGCACTCTGTGGCATATCTTGGGTTATCATCAATAAGAACCTTAGCATTCAAAGACCTAACAGTATACAAGGAAATCTATCAATAACAAATCTACCTACAGTAACCTTGGGACAAAATGTTTATAAGAAAATGGTTTTAGGGAAATGCGAAGAAATGAAAGTGAACAGAATTAACTTATTTGGATACAAGCTTATAAGAACTTTTAAACAGTTTTTTCTAGTAAAGAAACTCTTGAAAACTCTTTTAAACTTGTATTCAAACTGGCTAGCGTACCTACAAATCTCTGACTTTGGTCTTGACACCCCATCCAGAGCAAAGTGGTTTCCAAAGTGAATTTCCTGAAACAATCCTGAAAAATGCTTCTCTATCCACTCAAGTGTGTGATCCTTGATAACATTTTGTCGGGATCTGATCATAAAATATATAAATAGCAGTTAGTTGATGCTGACCTTATTCTGCTATAGGTTGAAATAAAATCAATATTCAACACCAACATCATACGTTACAACTGATAGGTTACAAAATCTTGATAAGTTCTGCAGGGCCATCTGAGCACCCGGGATAGGCTGTATCCCTAACTTGAAGTATGGTGTCTCAAAAAACTCGTGAACACGGGTATTAGCTGTACAACAAGAAGTACTATTTTCAATTAGTCCAGTTATAAGCATTAAGCCATGAAGCATAAATGACTTTCATCATTAGGCATAAAACCTTGGTCATACAAAAAGACTATAGAAAGGTATTGAGTTGTTTTGTTTAACTTTATACAAGAATATGAATGATAGATATGGATCAGCTATTGGGTTCAAACCATGGGGAGCCCAAGCCCAAGGTCTGAAATGTTGATGCACGTAAGAAGGAGATGGGGGAAGAATTAGTTGTGGAGGCACCAAGTTATTGGGGTGTGGGGAAGAGAGGAAGGCTTTTAGTCATTTTGGGTAGTTATGTTGACACAATATTTTTCTATGAGAAGCCGAGTCTCTGGTTGTAGCCCACTGTAAGAGCTTAGGTTCTCATTTTCCATTATCTTAATACTACACTCAATGAAATTCTGATGTCAGTGCCTCATCAAAATATGTCTCCTGGAATTCATTTGTATATCCTGTAGCATAAAGATAACTCATGGATTTTGATTGGTATATTTTATTTTTTTTCCTTTTTTCCATGACTAGGGTTGCTCCCTATTAGCATTGTATGTTTGAAAGCTGAAACATACAGCAACAATGAAGATCGATTTAAGATGGAAATTGAAGAAATAAACAAATAAAAAAATAACATCAAAACACTTGCACTCAGGCTTGTATTATTATAATGTCAGTCGAGCAAAAGCAATTATAATTGACAATCTTTTTTGGTCCATAATTAGACTAATTTAAGAATTTCATTTACAATAGATCTGATTTCATGAGATTCCTAAATTTCAAAACAAAACACAATAAACATCAATCAACAAACCAGGTGAAAATGAAAATAGAAAGAAAAATAAGTTATATCCAATTATCCCAAAAAAAAAAAATTCTAAGAAATGAAGTGGGAAGACTAATTCACATAATGCAATATCCATATGATTGACAGATATGGATTTACCTTCATCACGTGAACAGTTCCATATCTGTAACAGAAATGAAAGGTGTATCAGACTTGCATACAAACATGCTCATTCCATGCAATGATATCAATTAAATGTGTCATTCAAATTACAAATTATCTTTTCATCGGTGAAATTTTCATTAATAGCACCACGGGGGTAGAAGGCAGATAAACCTCATGCATACAGTAAGTTGCAGCTCAAGGCAAGACAATAAAAAAACTTCTCATAAGGAAAAAGATATACAAAACATAGAATCTCCAAGAAAGTCATCAAAGAACAGAATTAAGTGTTAACAGAAATGCATCTTCCAATTATATAAGCAGTTATCTTTATATCTAATCGCAATTCAAATCATGAATCATCAAGTTAATATTTGAATCAGGAATAAAAAATTGTGCCAAATTGCAAGATTCAAAGACATAGTGAAAAATAGTTTGAAATGTATCACATAAATAATCTAAATTATCTGTGTATGAAGCCTCTTTTTCAAGAGACTAAAATAAAACAATAAAATACCCAAATACAATGCATAGAATGAGTGTCAGTGTAAAACCCATTTTAAAACCCATTTCAGGGTAAATAGGGTATTTTAATAGTGCTCCTTCAATTCCTTTTCATTTAACAATTAAAGGTTATCTAATTTTTCAATTTCTTAGACAAGAAATGGTGAAAGAAAAACAAAACTAAAAAACAAAGAATCACAGAATCGTGTGATCCATATTAGTGATACAAAAAATCACAGACTCATCCATGCATGGTTGTCAAACTCGCGAGTTAACTCGTAGAGTCGTACGAGTTTACGAGTCTAGGGTAGGAAAACTGGTTAACTCGCTTCTGGAATCGTTTTTTGTTAGACTCGTGCAAACTCGGCTGGACTCGGGTAGAAAAGAATCGCGAGTTCTATGGGCGAATCCGCGAGTTAGATTCAGATCAATTTTTTGCCCCCTAAATGCCCTAAACGACGTCGTTTTAGAAAGGGTTTCTAGTCTCCTCTCTATTTTCTTCGATCTCTCACTTTTTGCATACAAAAACCAAACTCTCCCTCCCTTCGCGTTCTTCGATCTACCTCTGTTCGAGCTCCCACGACACCATCCGACTTCATTCTATCCGCCTGGCGCCATCCTTGCACCTCCCAGCGTCGTCCCTGTAGTTTCCGACGAACTATTCATCCACATGTTTTCCTGCTCGTCCAGCACCATTCATTCACCTTTGCCAAGTCGAGAAAACACTCGTTAGGAAGGTGCTTCATTTCCCCTATTTTAACTCCTTCAGCCATGCTATTGCTATTGTGTTTATGCTATTTTATTCGAACTTTTTGCATTCCTTCTATTCTGATTTATAGGTGCTGCTAACTATCCTATTTTAATATTAGGTAGACTCTTACGAGTTTACAAGACGAGTTTACGAGACGAGTCTACGAGTCGAGTCTACGAGTCGAGTCTACGGGAGCCCCACGAGTTTGCTTAGGCTCTCGAGTTTGACAACCTTGCATCCATGTTTTGTATGATTCAAAGTCATTTACACTACATTACATTACATAATATAAATTGTAAGGTAGCCAAATCATATTGAATCATGTTATCCAATTGTGAATAATAAGATTCTAATAAATATACAACTTTTTGGGATCTAAATAGTATTCAGCGCACATGTGAATGAACTTCTATGTCCCTGGTGGGATCTTGTAGGTGGCACATTAACTAAAATAGTAATACAGCTCTGACTACCTTACTATAAAGCACAGAATGGCAGAATCACTGATGATGTTTCCTCACTTTGGTAGAGTCCAGTAGACATGTTATAACGGAGCAGAACATATAAATTGGTTTGTTCTCTGTTTGGTATATTTTAAAAACAAAATAGAATAGGACATAAGTTTATAAGGAAATGGTACAAAGTGTCGAACCAAGGAGAACAGAGCAGCCTGGTTGGTCTGTTTGCATGCCAAAAACTACATGTGAGGATAGAGGAGTTCCCTACTAATACTACAATGCAGGCAAAATGAAAAACAGAATATACGCTGCAAATTCCAACACCCCAAGCTAACAAACCTTTAAAATTAATGTATACAATTATAAATGGTAGATTAAACTTGAAATTACATCATGGAAGATCAATACAAGAGAAAATTAAATCATATCAAATAAGCCAAATTACATAAAAGTTGGGTTTTCACACAACAGTTTTGCCAATAACTTTTAATACTACATCTGTTGTCGTTTTCTGTATGAAATCTAAGGTTATAATTCTTTCTATAAAGGATTAGAGAATAAGGGGCAAAATGAGCCTTTGAAAGAACATGCAAGTTATTGTATCATTGTTGATACAAATTTTGTAAATTCTTAAATGTCCAATTTTTTATCATCACAAAAATAGAATTACTGAAGTAACTACCAGGTGTACCTTGAAGAACTCATACACATGATACTCGGAAACTGAATGATGTGATGAGTATCTATCCGCTATGAACTCGTTCAGAGCTGACACAAAGTTTCCTAATACTGCTCAAATGAAAAAAGTACATATTAGAGAAAGACAAAAGTGGATAACGCTAGAGTACAGTTTTGATTCTAGAAACTGCCAAGAACGTTTCACATTTAGCTAAAGAAATAGCAGAAAAAGCTTCAACTCAAACATTGACTAAGTAAATTAAAAAAAAATATATACATCTAACATGCAAGAATAAACTGACTTATTTATGCACCCGGGAAGGGGGATTTTGACTTGGTTTCGTAACTAATTGGCAATATTTTAAAAACACTAAAAAAATAAAAGGAAAGGAAATGTAATTTAGATTCAGACTAATTAATGAGACTGGAACAGGATCACGATTTAACGAAAATTATATAACAAAATACCTAAGATAAACCTAAGAAGATTTACAATGTAACATAAAAAAAATGGGAGGCACATGCATACATAAATACAAACCTTCATCAACATCAACAGCAACAACAAGTTTCTGGGGCAATTGTTGATCAGGGAAACAAAAGGGTTTGGTGGGACTTCCCCCCAAAGATTTATCTTCAACATCAATACGAGAGGCATCACGACCATCATCTCTGACAGAATTACCCTTCTCTAAATCACCTAACAAGGGGGGGAGAGGAACACATGTAAAACCAAAGGGCTTTTTCTTTTCCTTCACAAAGAGCCTATTAGCATTGTCACCACCATTGGCATCAAAGCATGCTTTAAGAGTGAATCCAACGTGTCTATTACCCTCGTAGGAAGAGCCAGAAGGGTAATGGGGAAAGGCCCTACTGAAACGGGAACAAGGATCATAGCCTAACAAATGAGCCATGAGAAGAAGATGAAGAAATTGGCAACAATGCTGAAAAGGGAAGAGATTTCTGAAACAAAAAGCACACAGGGCCTTGTAGGTTCTTTAATTTGAATGCAGTCACACCATAATCTTAGTAAAAAGCAATATTCTCTTAAAAAGCCAAGACCTTTTGACTTGCAAATCAATAGAACAATTCAATCATGCATCAAGGACCAAACTTTTAATGGACACACTCGTTCGGCTACAAAAGGGTCTCTTGATTGACTCTCTTACTAACTCAAAAGGGGAATGTCGGAATAGTATAACAATGGTTTCAGAAAATAAAAATCGAAACTTGGTAACCTGCGAAAACAATGGCTGAAAACGAGAGGAATGTTTCCAAAGATCTAAACAGAATATGCATTAATCTAAAAATGAAAGTAAGAGAGAATGAAGAAAGTGGTAACTTTTCAGATCTTGATTCTCAACTCCGCTCGTGTTTCTCTCCCAACTTTATATACAGGATCAAGGCGGCACATACAAACAAGGGTCGCTCCTTTTGAATCAGAAACAAATACAGTATCATCCTAAATTATGATTTCTTATTTTATTTTATTTTTAAAGTTGTATTAATCCTTTATCTACATTGTTGTTTTATCATATATTTTAGATTTATTAGTATTTTAGTATAATACATATGTTAAATATTTATTATATAAAACTAAAATTTATAATAAATTATATATATAAATTATTATTGTATTTAAATATATATTATATTTAAAAATTTTATAAATAATTTATATTATAGTATGTTATTATTTTTATTTATTGATAACTTATTTTTAAAATATTAAAATTTAATTTATAAATATTTTTAATAAATAAAAATTAAATTAAATAAAAAGTTAAAAATGCTTAAAAATCGTATCACTAGAAAAGAAATCCTAAAAATACTATAATACAAAATAAATGTTTGTACTTAATATATAAAAATTGATTGGTTGATAATTTATTTTTAAAATATGAAAATATAATTTATAAATAATTATCACAAATAAAAATTAAATTAGATAAAAAATTTAAAAATTCTTAAAAATTATTTTGTTGAAAAATAAATTTAAAAATACTTTCGTACAAGATAAATATTAATATTTAATATATAAAAGTTCATTTTAATCTTTTATATATTATATTTAATCTACTTTTATTTTTAATTTAATTTAATTTAATTTTTTTAAGAAATTATCATTTTTAATTTTGTGACATTATTTTGAATTAATTTTTAATTAATTTAAAATGTGAAATCCATAATATTATATATATTTATATGAAAATTATAAAATTCAATTGAAATTCAAATATGAAAGAGTTATAATCATATTAAAAATAATGTGAAAAGTATATTTTACGAACAATTAGAAAATTATATAAATTAAATTTTTAAAAATTTGTAATTATTTTTTATATTTATGTTTACATAATTTTTACCATATTTACAAAAAAAAAATTTATTTAAATTTTAGTTGTATTTATATGAATATAATCAAATAAATTTTAAATCTTGAATTAGTCAAAAAAATTAAAATCGTATCTCAAAATTAAAAATAATTTTTTATTTAAAAAGATCAAACTCATCCAAATTTAATAATAAAAGATGAAAAAATAAATTAAAAATTAAAAATATAATTTAATATAAATATCAATCAAATAATAATTAATATGATCTTTGTTGCCGGGTATCAAGAAAATAAACACGATTACACAAGGAAAACTGGAATTTTTTTAATGCAGATTTTAGGGCTCGATTAATTTAAAGCACATTTTATTTTTGTAATTCGCACCTAGGATATCTCCTACTCCAACCAATGAAAAAATAGTATTTTTAAAAATATTTTTAAAAGATAATATTTTAAGAAATATATAAAAGTTGCTTTTTAAAATAAATAAATATATATATATATATTAAATAAAACTAATTAAAATAAATACATAAAAAATATTTTACTATAATTTTTTAAGAAAATAAATTTAAACAAACAGACTATTAAATTCTTCTAATAGAACTTAAATCATTAAAATAAATTTAACCTTTTTAAACAATGTTTTAAAAAAAATATTATGACTAATTAAACTTTTTTTTAATCATTTGTATAAATGAAAATTATTTCCATGATTTGGAATGGTGAAAAGACTTTCTTTCTCTCAAGGTCAATGAGATCTGTCGTTATTTATAATTTTCCATTACTAAAATTTTTATTTGAAAACGACATCAAGGTGAATTTATTCAATTACCATTTTTCTGGTAACTAGATAGTAGGTCCGTGCTCCACATTTTCAGGATGAAAAAAATACAACAGATGGAAGAAAATTTCTTTTAAAGTTGACACCTGTCCTCATCTTGATGTAGCCAGATTTAATATTTTTAAAAATATCTAATTTAATTAAGAATAAGTAATATCGAATTTATTAAATTAGATATAGAATGAAATATGTATATATCTATTCATTCTATATTTATTTTAATCTCTATCTTTATTTTAAATTTTTAGAAATTTAATTTATATTTTTAGAATTTATGTAATTTTTATTTTATTTTAAATTTATGTGATATGAAACTTAATTAATAAAATTTTGTAATTATTTGCTATACTAAAACTTTTTGATATATTTTTTACAAAAATAATATTTAATTAATTTATATGTGAGTACGGGACAGGTACAACAATACTATAGAGACGAAGATGAGATACAAATTTCACATCTGTTGAACATCAAGAACGAGAATGAATATAGGGTATGAACTTAAGGATAGGAATAAGAATATTGAAACTTGCACTTGCCCTACCATCTTTATCTGTTTGGAAAACGAATTTTGAAAATATAATTTTATTTTTATTTTTTATCATATTTTTGTGCCAAAATATTTATTTGAAATTAAATTTAGAGAAAAAAAATTAAAACTCTATAATTTATAAAAATAATAAAATTATTTAAAGTTTTATTAAAAAAATTTAAAATTTTCATATTTATCTCTTTATTCACCTCTATATTTTTTTCTCCTTCTCTCTCTTCTCTCCTTTTCTTTCTCTCATGTTCTTTCCTCCTCCTTATTCTTCCTTTTTATTCTTTCTCTTATATTCTTTCCTTTTTAATTTTCTTTCATCTCTCTTTTATTATATATTCTTTTTTTATCTCTTTTTCTTTACTTTTTTTTCTTCTTTCACTTTTCTCTCCCACTCACTCTCTCTTACAAGTACTTGAGGACATATGCTAGAGTGGGAGTAACATTGTTAAATTTGGCCTGACTAGATGGGTTGACCTGCTAGGTCGAGCCAGACCAAGCCTTATTATTTTTATGCTAAAAAAATACTTGACCAATTTGGCTTAATCCAACGAGTTAATCAAGTTATATGAGTCAATTGAACCTAAATCAAACTAATAAAAAAAAATAGGCTCAAAAGGTATCAAGCCTTTTTATGTCGATACTCTTTAGTTTTTTTTCTTTTAAATCACATTTAAAATTATTATAAATAAATAAAGTGACTCGATTTGGCCTGGCCTGATGGGTCAATAAGCTAAGTCTGACAACTCATTTGATAGTTATAAGTGACGCAATCCTTTTAAGTTATCACCATTGCAAATAAATTTATATTAGTCAAATATACTTTACTTTAAATTAGTGGATGACATTTTTTCCTCTTTTTTTCTTTATTTCTTTTCTCTTTTCATGATTGACCATTCTCGAACAACCTCTCTTTGCTAAACATACCATTGCAAATTGTCGTGTGTTGATGCAAACAACGAGCAACAACATTTATTTTCTTTCTTTCTTTATTTTCTACTCCTTTTAATCTTTGTTCTTCTCCTTTTATTGATCATCTCATGTCACTATGGAGAGTGGTTTCCAACAACCTTTCCATTTTCTTTTCTCCTTTTTTTTCTATTTCTTTCTTCAAATCTATAAATTCCATTTTTCAAATCAAATCTATTTATGTAAACTAGATAAAACCCTCACTCATAGTCTTAACCCAAATCCTAACAACCTAGCAAAGCCACACAAGGAAATTTTGTTTCAACAGAAACCCAACATCTCAAGAACACTTGCATGTTTGAAACCAATAAAACACCTACTAAGACACTGTCATGCTTTGTTGACAATGACCTCATTGGTGGATCAAGTAGTTTGAATAGGAGTTGGGTGCATGAAATTGGAATGGAAAGAGGTTGGATGTAATGGAGGTGTCATCATCGTTGTTGATGACTTTAATTAGTGTCAAAGCGGTGGCGGCAAAAGTAGGTGATTTGACCAGAGAAACATAATTTGGATAAGATAAATAAAAAAGAAAAGGGAAATTTTCATCTTTCTATTTAAATACTAGTAGATCTAATGGCTCCCAAATCATTTTCCATGGCAAGAGACATCTTTACAAGAAATGTTTTTAAGAGGTCAAAATTTTAGTCTCTAAACTAACAAACTTTGTTGCTAAATCAATTATATTATGTTTAGATGAAACATTTTAAAAATTTAGGGAATTTCAAATTCTTGAAATTTGAATTACTTTCAATTAAAATCTCTTTATTTTTTAAATATTTTATTTGGATAAGGTAACATCAATTAAATTCTCTTCATGTGATGTTGTTAGAATCAAATCCAACTTTTGTTGTGAGTGCTTCTTTTAATTGGCACCTAACCATGAATGATTGAAAATCTTGAGAGCAAGTATAAATGAAGTTATATGGAGTCACTCTAGGCATAGTAAGCAAAATATATATCCATCATACATCAAAAATTCATAGTACCTAATGTGCAAAATTCATACGTGTACGAATGTCGTCAAGTAATAAAATATTGAATTCAAAGGGACAACATTTGTTACTTATGTAATTATCACAATTTAATTATTAATTATATAATTGAAAAAAAAAAGATAATGTTCAGATTTAGTTTTTAAGAAGATAATTGAATGAGATAAATAAAAGAAGATAAGTAAGAGAAGATAATTTAAAAAGATAATTAAAAGAGGATAATTCAAAAACATGATAAAACTAATTAGATAAAATTTTAAACATAATCCGAGATTAGGATTCGCACAATGAGTTCCTTATTAGTCTAATTGTTTCATTCAATGTTTTACCATATTTTATATAAAGGTGAATTAACTTAAGGTACCCTTTAGTTTCTTTCAATATACGAAGGTGTATCTAATTGAATTGACTCTTATTGTCATGGTAACTATGTTCAATTAAACTTATTATGTTCTATGTTAATCTAGTTGACCCTCGAAGGGTTAACGTGACACCTTCCTACCCCCTACAAAACATAATAAATAAATATCTTAAAAATAAATTAAAAATAAAATTTAAACATTATAAAATATCTACACATGACTTTTCTAGTAAAAGGTTCATAATTACATGAAATTAAAAACCCTATAATACAATACAACTAATAATTATATAAATGTAACACAAGGTACAAACCATTTTTTTAAACAACTTGAAAAAAAAAAAAGCAAATGCCATAAAATAAACAAACTCTAACTAT